TCGACCAGGAATGATCACGCTAACCCGCAGTCACGTTTACGACCAGTGGACTAACGATAAAGCTATACAAGATGCGTAGCAGCGGATCCAAATCGCACGCGCATTTGTTCAAAATTAATTTATTATTTTTTCGTAGCATTTTCCTGAGACATTTTTATAATTGCTTATAAAATAATTTATTTAATTCGATTTAAAATTAATTTCAAGATAAAAAAACACTTAAGATTTTCTATCATTTATTAAATCAATTTTATTGATTTTTTTTTATCAGATAAAATTACCCCGAGATTATTTATATTGATATGTGACAGAGATTATCTTATAACATCTTTAATCTTAATAGCTATAAAATTTGAATATTTCGGTCATTAAAGAACGTTAACGTAATGGTGGTTGGAATAAGGTGATATGTACCAAATTTGGCACTTTATATTTATTTATATTAATATGTTGGCTTTGCTCCAAAGGCCAGGCATCACTTGCAGGCGCTTCATGACGAAGATGCTGGCCATTAACTGAGGGCGCAAATCCATCTACAAGTCAAACCCAAATTTTATAGGTTAGCAATACCCACTTTCCCGGTTTTGTTAGTATAAAGAAAAAAATAGAAATCTTTGCCGTCTAACACATTCTTGGAGAGATCACCTTTTGCAGTGGATGAAAAAGGCTGTGATAATATCTAAAAGTTGTACTATTAAGTTATTATTGTGTCCTACAGGTTCCTTGTACTCTTGTGCGTGGTATGTAGGCTCATCTAATTAATAAGACTTTTAACTATACCATGATTATCCCCTAGAAAGGAGGTTTAGTCATTAATGTTGACTAGAAATAAGAATGGGCCGAGAATGGAGCTCTGAGGAATACCCATCAGTACAGCTGACCCGGAAGAACTTTTATCATTGAAAATAACTTTCTGCGTTCAATTATTAAAGTATGAAATAATCATTTAAAGTTTTTTACTTTATTACACATAGTGTCATATGTGTAAAAAAGTGTTGTAGCTTCCTGATTAATGTCTGTAACTCTCTGATGAACAGTCGAAGGTCTTGGAAAGAAGAATCACCAAATATACATATAGCATCCAATAAAACCAAATTAATTTTTATTACTTACTTACTTATCTTCACGCACAATCCCTGACGGGGTAGCCAGAGAGAACAGATCGCCAAGTGTCACGATCCTTACATACCTCTTTCGCTTCTTTCAGATTCATTATCTTCTTCATACATGCACGTCTAGGTATCCGAGTACTCTTGACCCTACCCTCTCCGAGCAATTTGCTCACATGGTCTTCGAAAGTTAGTCTCGGTCTACCTCGACACCTTTTAATATTAACTTTCGCGCTATATATTTTCTTCACCATTCGGTCTTCACTCAGTCGCTCAACGTGCCCAAACCACCGAAGCACGCCCTTATCAATTTTTGTGATAAGGTCATCTTTCAAACCTGCCATATTGCGAATCTCTTCATTTCGCTTTCGGTCGGCCATGGTAACGCCGCACATTTTACGAAGAGATCGCATCTCCACTGCATTCAACTTGCTTTTATGCTTCTTCTGGCATACCCAGGTTTCGCTGCCATATAACAAAGTCGGTACCAACACTGCGTTATATATTGCAAGGCATGCACTCTTCACTACGCCTTGCCTTTTGACTAACGCAGTCAGGGCACCATTGACTTTGTTCCCGGCAGCGACACGCCTGTCCACATCTAAATTACATCTTCCATCCCGGCTAAAAGCACTCCCCAAGTATACAATTTCATTTACTTGTTCTAGACATTCCTGATTTACCCATATTTCACACTTCGTTCTCTCTTCGTCCCTTTCAAATACCAGAACCTTAGTTTTATTAGCGTTCAAACGGAGACCTTTAATTTCACATTCCTCTTTCATACACGTGACTAATGCCTGCAGTTCTGCCTCTGATGGTGCAATAAGCACTGCATCATCAGCATACAGCAGACAATTTACTTTTATGTCACTCAATTTCACACCCAAACAGCTATCTTTCAGCTTTTGTAAACAGCTGTCGAGATACAGTATGAACAGCCAGGAAGACATGACACAACCCTGTTTTACGCCCGTTTGGACGCTAAACATGGGTGACAGGTCATGCCCTACCCGCACACAGGCTTTACAGTCACAGTAAAGAGACTGCACAGCCCTTAGCAATCGACCATCCACACCATACCCCGGCAACAGTTCCCACATTTTCTTCCTTACAACCTTATCAAATGCTTTCTCAAGATCCACAAAAGCACAGAAAATCTTCTGGTTAGCAGCCAGAAGCTTTTCCGTGATCATGCGGAGAGAAAACATTTGATCCGTGCATCCTCTTCCAGGTCTAAATCCGTATTGTGCCTCCCATAGAAATCTTTCCGATTTCTCTTGCATCCTACGTGTCAAAACCTTCGAGTAAACTTTACTTGCTAAACTGGTCAAGCTGATCGCCCGATAGCACCCGCAGTCAAAATGTGAACCTTTACCTTTATATAAAGGCACAATGACTGCGGATCGCCAATCATCCGGGACATCCCCCGTCCGCCAGCACAAATTGCACAGCAGATGAAAGCTGTCCCAGACGCGAGGCCCACCATACTTGACCATTTCAGCAGTAACTCTGTCTAGTCCCGCAGCCTTACCACATTTCAAACTTCGAATCGCACGTTCAATCTCTTTCATACTGATGACCTCAGTGTCATCGAGGTCCGGGTCTGGCGTACCAGTCACGGCGTCATCCCCGGATCCCTCACTAAGATCATCACAGGCATACATTTCTCTATAAAATTCGCTCCATCGCTGCATGACGTCCGATTTTTCTGAGAGGACGTCATTAGTTCTCGAAAGCACTTTGTTCATTCTTAAGGCCGTCGCACCACTTCGGGTCCTTCCAACCTCTTTCCAGAAGAGTTTCTCCTTAAAGTTGTGCGACAACCTTTCGTCCGCTTCCATTCTACACCTTTCACGCACTTCCTCAATCAATGATTTCGTGTGAACTTTCTGCAGCCTATATCTTTCTTTCATCTTCTCTCTCATATCCTTATCATTACTAGAGGCCAAGTAGTCCAACCATGCTTTCTTCTTCTTCTTTACAGCTTCTTTCACTTCATCATTCCACCATGCATCTCTTCTTTTACTACTGCCTCTTTTTATTGTTCCACACACTTCTTCCGCTGCACTTACCATTCCATCCCTAAGGTTCTGCCATGTTCTTTCTACACATTCGTTTCTGCCATCGATGGTGTCAAGCTTTTCGGCTACCCTCGCATGATATTTGTCCCTAGTATCCGCTTCCTGAAGCTTCCAGCTTCGGATGCGACAGACCGACTGTGGTTCTGTCACTGCCGTCCGGTAGCGCCAACCCGCGAACAGACCCCTAAATCTAGCAATCACTAGATAGTGATCCGTTCCCAGGTCAGCACCCCTGAACACTCGCGTATCCATAACCTGTTTTCCCAGTCGGTCATCCACCAGGAACAAATCGATCATACTTCTCTCATTCTTTCTTTCTCTAGTATACATATGGATTTTTTTGTGATTAAACATAGTGTTTGTCACAAGAAGACCCTTTTCCTTGCATACCGCCAGTATAAGCTTACCAGCATCATTAACCTTTTTATCGCCAAACTTTCCAAGTACCGACTCGTATCCCGTATCTCGTATAAATTAATTTTTATGAAGCAATTTATTTCAAAAAAAAAAACTTAACTTTTTTTAGAATAAGGGTGACAAACGAGCACACAGTCCACCTGATGGTAAGTGGCCGCTGTGGCCCATTGACATCTACATCTATCTTCGTTTACGAATTAAAATGCAGATGCGTTGTCAGCCGTGAGGACTATGATAGAATGCCTCTTTTCCAGTAAAAAGGGTCTCCGGTTCTCTACACTCACCATACGAAACACAGCAGCATTAAGCTGCTATTTTACGCTGGTATTCTGTAAGAGTGTGGTCCTTCCCCGGTCTAGCTGACCCATTCGTGCTACAACTATACTATTAATATAGCTGCAGCATGGCTCTACCACGTAAAAAACGTATAACTTAACTGATCTCAAATGATTTATTCAAAATTTTACTACATGTTGCTATTACAGAAATATGTTTAAAATTAGCGCGGTCTAATTTACTACCAGATTTAAATAAAGCTATGACTTAACTATGGTTCAGTAAATTAGGAAACACACCAGATGTACGTGGTAGAGACATGCTACAACTTTATTATGGTAGTAGCACAAATGGGTCGACTCGACCGGGGCAGGACCACGCCATCACAGAAAGCCAACTGCTGCTGCAATGCGGCTGTGTTTCGTATGGTGAGTGTAGGAAACCGGGAACCCTTTTAGTGGAAATGAGGCATTTCATCTCAGTCCTCAGATGTGAAAACTCATCTGCATTTTTATTCTTAATCGAGGATAACTGTAGAAGTATATAGGTCACAGCATCCACTTACTATCAGGTGGACTGTGTGCTCGTTTGTCACCCATATACTATGAGTGTAAAATTAAGCTAAAATCACTGCGCAAGCTAGAGGGAAGTAACTTTGTAACAAACACGAATAAAATAAAATTTAATTTTAAAAACAATTGAAAATCAAAAAGTTGCTGATATTAATTTTTAGCATTGTTTTAAATGTGAAACATAAAAGGCTCTACGGCCCTGAACCACATAAGTAAGTAAAATGAACTACTCATGTGCCTGCACGGAACAGTAATAAAATCTTTACACACGTAGAGTTCTTTCTATAAACAACTCATACGCCAATATAAGGAGGCAATTTGATAGATTTTCTTAATCAGTCGTCAATCGGAAAATGTTTTATATTTATGTTATACACTTTTATGTTCTTAACTTATTAATTAATGACGTATATGTATTCATGATAATGAAATTATCTTTAAGGAAGCTCGCACTCGTAATCGATGACCTATAACGGGTCAAAATAATCATAGCATTAATGAAATACAAACTATTAATTTTCTTTAAATTACATAAGACTTACCTTTAGAAATGCGTATATAGATGCATGAATGTTTTTTAATTCAGTGTACCCAATTTGATTAGGTATAACATGCCTTAAAAACGGTAAAAAGTTCAAGACTCCACCGCTCATGTCAGATACTTTAAAAGATCTTGTTATTAAATCGCATAACGACTTTAAGCGTTTATCCATGAGATCGTATCTAAAAAGAAATTATTTATGGATAAAAGTAAAAAGATGTTGAACAGTGGTAGCACATTCGTCAGAATCTCTCCATAAATTTCATAGAATGCGGGCAGCCGGATTAGACTTACCAAAAACTTTAATGCAATTTACCTCTTAGACAGGGTTGAATAAAATAATTAGCACAATTAAATATATAAAAATATTTTAAAATGCAATATATTGCAGAACAAATTTTCGTATATAATTTTCCTTTAAAAATTAAACGAGGCTTGTGCTGGGCTGTGAGACTAAAACTACTAACCAGAAATATAAATAGAATTAAGACGCTTTCACGGTACAAGATAAATTCTTATAGTGCGTAATATTTTTTTAATAATTACTTTTTAATTTAAATCACAGTCTGTTCATAGTTTCAGCCATTAATTTAAATAAAAGCACACTTAACTACTTTTATAGTCTTCTTTATTGGAAGACTTTTCGCTGCAAAATCTTTATTTTTAAATTTTTCTTACGTTGTTACTTTATTAATTTTTAACGTTGTTACCACACATTGTTGTCTTTTGAGTGTCGTAAGAGGCGATAGAGGGAAAGAAACACTGCCTGTCAAGTTTTTTTTTTATAGAATAAGGATGACAAACGAACACACAGCCCGCCTGATGATAAGTGGATGCAGTGGCCCATAGACATCTACATTTATCCTCAAATTAAGAAATAAAATGCAGATGCGTTGTCACCCCTGAGGACTGAGATGGAATGCTTCGTTTCCAGTAAAAATGGCTTGCCAAGTGTGGCAACCTTAATAAACATTCTCCATGATCATGTATATACTCGTAATATAAATATAATACTGTGGCGGCGCTGTCGTCGCGCCACAAGCGAAACAAAAATCACAGCCTAAATCGCGCTAACAAAGTTCCGAAGTTAAAGCAGTATATAATATAATAAGATTGCAGCTGCAATGGTGCTCACAATTAGTTGCTGCTAAACACGTTACTCGCGTGAAAGAGAGTGTCTCTACAGAATAGTATAATCCTCAATATGGAATACTATATTATAATTAAGTTTATTTTAAAATGAGAAAGTAAAAGTTAACTTACCTTTTACCCGCCACTAATCGCCACAAAATGTTGACGATTGATACGTCAAATAATCGGTTAACACATACGGTTTTACCAACGTTTTTCTCGAGGAGTTTAATTAGTTCACGACATTCTTCACTAATATTAGCTTCCATTGCTTTTGAGCTATATCCGTAATATTTCAGGTACCTCAATACAGTGCGCCTTGTTTTATTCCAAGCTGGTCCATCGGAAAACACAATTCCTGAAATAGTTTTTGGTTGTTATTAAAAGTTACGTAAGTACGTCCCACGGCTGGGCACTGTTATGAAGTAATTTTTTTATTTTTAATTAATAATTATTTTACTATCGCTTATTTTATATGACTTTGGTATTCATGTTATGATGAATTGTTAAGAAGAAATAAACAAACGGGAAAACTTTAATAAAAATAACGAACCAAACGAATTTTGTTCTTGTGACAAATATATCATATTCTACGTACCCAGTTTCTTCCCAAACGACCTTATTAAATAGAAAAAACCGTCCGGACGCCCTTCAAACACTTCTCTAGAAGACACTTCTTTTATGTACTCTTTCCCCGACACTATGACAACATTTATTGAACCAAGTTTCAAACCTAATAAGTTGCCATATTTTCGAGACCATATTTGCCACAATTTATGACGATATTTTAATTTTTTGACGTTAAACCAAACAGAAATAATATTTCCTAGTAGGGGTAGTATTGGAGGACCTGAAAATTTCAAACCTTTACAAATTGCTCACGGGGAACGGGGGAACTCTATTGTGACAATATAAAATTTTTGCAATAAAACCTGGAGGATATGCCGGAGGTCTTTGAAATGTATGTTTAATGAAGCAGAAAAATAAAAAAATACATGTGATTAAAGCCCACATCACTGCACTGTATTACATGAAGGACTGAAAGTATTTTGCCGTGTGTAGCCAATCTATTTTTTTCGAAGCGATACAATCGCAAAACGTTAAGTAATCACGCCTTGTGTTATTCAAATTAACGAGGAAGTGGCTTTGAAGATTATCTAAACTCGACAGACAATGGACGGTGCCGTACTACTAGTGCATATACCAAAGGATAAGTAGAAGTAATTGTATATACAACAACGTTTAAAGAGTTTACACACTCGGGAGTTTCAGATACGCTAAAAGCATCGTAAGTTATTATTTTTTAATTTATTATTTATTAATCACTTTCAAAGTAATATGATGGAACGACTAATAATTCCACTCCTTTGCTGTAAGCATTACGAACGACGAAGTAAACTCTTCGATTCGAATGCCTGGTATATCGACAACAAGCGGGTGGGGAGCAGCCAAGAGGGAGGAATTATTCAATTTCTGGTCACACTCTCCGAAATGAATCCAGTGAAACATCGATAGGCTGGGTACGTTGCACCTGTATACAGAAATACTCTATACACAGGCGGACGTGTGTTTTATAGAGTGTAAGTAACTGTCCCGGTGTATACATAGCTGACCTATGCAAGCACACGACTTCCTTGCAGCTGCTCTGGCCCTGGACTCAATGAACCGTTTCGGGTTCCCTCAACCCCCGGGAACTAAAGTGGCCTTAGTGAGTAGACTAATTTTGCCAAGATCAGTCAGGAACAGTTGTGTATTGGAGGCTGTATATCTCACAAGATTGGCATTGCCTCATTCGGAGACTACCTGCAGTGAGAGATTCGCACGGTTACAATCATTTCAAGCTGGATTTTATCCCGACTGCCCCGAACACTCGGCGGATATCTCTACTCAAACAGTTGAGTAGAGATATCCTCCGAGTGACAGCATCTGAGTAACCATAGATATAAACTGTTCATTGATATGCAGCAAGAGGAGATTTGCGGAGAGAATGTAACCCTGAGGATTTTTTTTGTATAAAACTAAAGTAACAAAGGAACTGACAGCCCACCTTCATTTTATCATTATTATTTATATTGTGGCCTTCAAATTGAACTGTGTCGAAATATTTTTAGGTTATATTTTATAGGTTTTCCGGTATAACCTTCAAACATTCTTACTTTCAACGAACGGTTCTTTATAAAATCGATTGTCTCTAAGCGGGTACTACGAAAAGACAACCTTACTTTTGGAAACAAAAAGATAGTTGATTAATGATATTTGTCGCGTTTTGACTTCAAACACGGTTGAAAATTGCTGCTCTCTACGATGGTGCATTATCGTTGTACAAAATCCACGCATTGTTGTTCCATAGTTTTGACCGTTGTCGATGATATTCCTGACTTCAATATCGCTAAATATTATTCTATATTAATGTTCTGTCCTTCCACTACAAATTAAAGATGAACTAAACCACGAATATTAAAGAAAACTAGCATCATCTTGTCTTTTTAGCTACTTTGACGCAGTTGTATTTGCAGTGTTTGCATTTCAAATTTATAAGCCTACTATAACCAGTTATAATATGTTCCATTAATTTGTGACCATAATTGACGCAATCTGGCATGTCTAAAGAGGTCTGTTTCCGGTACTGTTCTTGTGAAATATTTAGCTCTTTTGGTTGGAGCCGAGCGGTGACGCGTCTCATGCCTAATTTATCCACAAAAATCGAACGAATGGGCTCCCTTAAGTTAGAATGGCGACTTTCGAGCACAATTTCTTTCACTTTTTCGATATTTCCTTCTGTTGGAAAGGCCAAGGGCAGTTCGGAATGAATGTTGTCTTCGTAGAATAATCGGCCCTCCTTGATCGCTTCGTATTACGCGTAGACTTGTGTTTTGGATAATATTAATAATCTATACATATAATAAAACTGTAAATAGCAGATGTCTGTACATTTTATATTTTTGTAATAAAAGTGATTGAGGGGTACTAAAAATAAGTAATTAAATACATTTCTACCATTTTTAGAATTTTCTGTCTGTCTGTCTGTCTGTCTGTCTGTCTGTTTGTTTGTTAACGTATCACGTATAAAGTACTAATTTATATCATAAGAATTGTTAAGGAAATTATAAAGTGTATCTTCGGGTTACATTTAGTCTTTATTTCATTAAAATCAGTTCATTCCATCAAAAGTTATGATAAATATTCTGAAGTATGGGTAGGGAAGTATAGGTACGAATTTGCTCAACGGTGGCTTTGTTTGAGTCATCAAGTGCATTTTAAACTAATATCATATCATAAATCATAGTTAAATTATGTAAAATAATGATATAATTATGTATATCTAAAACGCAGTAAACAAAAGTATTAAAGAACGTATTAAATATATTATACAAAAATATATTAACCTTATTAACTAAATCTGAAGCACAATAGTTAACCCATTTCTTCGATAGATGGTGGTGTTGTGAAAATGTAATGCAATTGCAATGTGGTTTTCTCCTGTAGATGAGTTTTCATATTTACTGCTAATCTTTATTATATTACTCGCTGCCCTACTGCGTGTTGACAAACTCAATTTCTTCTTTACCGCCGAGTACTCTATGTGGTAAATCAAATTTTAAAAGAGCTATTAACAATTGCGTTGGTTTTGGCGAGAGTCAAACTTTATTTTTTGCTTACTGTGTAGGCACTGATTTATAAGTTCTCTTGCGTTTTATATAATGTATCAATCGCGTCAATTAATCTCTTTTATTTTTAGAATTGATGTTAGCAGCGCCATCTCTCTCTAAATATATACATATAATAAAAATGATGATAACAGTCATGTTGTGTCTCTTTCTGTACATTGTATAATATATATTTTGGTGGCTAAAATCATTATGGGGAACTGAAAATAATTAAATAAGAACATTTTATAATTTTTAGAATTGTCTGTCTGTCTATTTGTCTGTTATTATATGAACGCATCACGTCTAAAGTAAACATCTTTTATTTTCAAAGAAATCGTTAAGAAAATCATAAAGCGTATCTTCGAGTTACATTTAATCTTTGTTTTATTAAAATTGGTTAATTCTATCGAAAGTAATGATTATTATTTTGAAATGTAGGTTCGAATTTGTTCAATGGCGCCATAAAATCTCAGAAATAGTAATAAAAAGATTTGTGTGTAAAAAAAACGTTCAATAATAATTAATATATTTATACAAGAGATTTAAAAAGGATGTTTTCTCACACAAAGGACGTAATAGATGGAGTTGTACAATTTACAAACTTTTCTGAATTGCTATATTGAGATTTTTCGCCGATGAATCGTATTGAGACTTACTGAAGAAATTTGTATCCATCGAAGCTATACAACGGAACCCGACCAAAAATAAAAATTTTGCAACGAAATGTCGTGATATTGTATTTATAATATACGCAAAATCAGTACTTCCATTTTAGCGCTTTGGGAACTAGATTTAGCGCTTTTTTGGAATGTATAGCGCGCATTTCGAAATTTTAGCACCTAGCTTAATCGAGCGCTTTTTGGTGTATTTAGCACACATTTCAATATTTTAGCGACTAGCGGGTTATTAACTCTTTTATAGCAGCACTGTTAGTCCACATTACCGATAATAATAATAATGACCTTTATTATTTTTTCCCGCAAATAGTACATTGCAGTTTATCTTTTTCAAACATATTTTTTCCACAAAACAAAGAGCATGGGAGACGAGTCCAAACTAGGATACCCTGTGCTATGGATCTCCTGGCTTCCCCTTTAGTATGATCAACTTGATTTTTTTACCGACGACTATAAGCGGGGAAATCCCCTTTATTAAAGTTTTCGTTCATGGTTTTGGCAACGCATTTATTTTGCTTTATTCAGTTTCAGTCAGTTGCTTAGAGCACAGCTAAGTTAAAAGTTACTTAGAAGTTATAACACAAAGAAACTGTGTAGCAACCGCAATGAGATGCTGACATCTAAAACTAAGTTGCGAAATACATTGCACTTTAAAACAATTAATGACATTTTTATTGTTCGTATAGTACTAACTACTGTTGACAGCAATTGCCATAATTATAAGTTGATATCCTGCGAAGTATTGATACATCAAAAAAATATTGCCAGAAAAAAAAATTAATGTTGTTTTCTTTATTATGATTATATAAAAAAACACAAACTTTGTTTGTAGTTAATTTAGCGCGAAATCTAGGGCTTTTTTAAAGCGCTGTTTTCATGAAATCTAGCGCTTTTTGTGTTGTCCTAGAGCTGAATGAGTTTTTTTTTATCTGGCAGCACTGCCCGAAAACCCTCTATTAAGAAAAAACTTTCCTTTCAGTTTTAAGCGCGTTCAGTTCCCAGTTACAGTGAGCGTGTGTTATGCGATGACCGTAAATAAAGCGCAAGGTCAAAGTTTACGCGTTGTAGGAGTGTACCTCAGTACTGACTGTTTTGCACATGGCCAACTCTATGTTGCTTTTCCCGCGTTAGTAGCCCCCGTAACCTTTTTGTGTACACCCCGGCTAAGCCTACTTCTAACGTCGTTTACACAGAAGCTCTATCATAAACGACTTAGAATTTTGATGGTAATGATTTATTTAGTTACCTACCACTTATTGATACAGTAATGAAATAAATCGTTTAATATTCTCTTACCTAAACGACAAATTCTTTATGTAAAACCTGTATACGCGAGCTACGCCGCGGGCACAGCTAGTTCACCATAATTCTTTTCAAAATCTTAGGGAATCTGCACACAAAATTTCGTTGGGAACATAAAAATTTAATACATACTCTTTGTTTAATAATTAGGTTTATTGTAAAAATCACGACGCACCGGTAATGGGGAATATTGATTCAACTAGCTTCTATCAATGAAATGGTGTAATGTTTGTGTTGATATAAGGTAAGTAAAGTTTAACGGTGGTAGAGCCACGCGACAGTTTTTGCTGTTGCACGTATGGGCCGGCTCGAGCCGGGTTGGTACCACGACCTCACAGAGTACCGAAGTGAAGTAGAATCTCTGCTTCTGCGTTCCGTCTGGTGA